CCAATGTGAAGTCACTGAATGCAGAGTTGGGAATTGACGCAATCAACCCTCGCAAAAATGTATGTAATATGCGCCAGTCCCAGCATACCACCATCTGGGTACTTTTATATTTTTTCTAAGAAATGTGAAGCCTACTACTGCCCCTCAAAGCTCTGCCAGTGGTGGGCTGTTCCAGGAAGAGTGTGGACTAGGATGCAGGAGCCCTTACCAGCTGTGAACCATAGGCAAGTTACATCCCTTCTGAGCCTCAGTTCCCTCATCTTTAAAATGGGAGCTGGGTTGTAGTGAAGCACAATGAGCTAAGATACATTGAAGCCCTCTGAGAGTCACCAAGCATGACTTGTCAGGCATACTCTCAGGGCACCAAATCCAGACGGTCTGCCCAGAAGTCTGCTCGAAAGCCAGTATTCCCACCGTGGGGCTGCATGGCAGACAGGCTTCCTGTTCTCTTTGATGTCAACCTCAAAGTGCAGGGGCTGCCTCAAAGCTCATTCAGTTTCCCTTGACAGGCCTTCATGCCTGCCGCTGATGAATTTCTTTTCATGGTTTTTGAGCTACTTGTGTTTCCCCCCTTAGCCACTTCTTAAGGGGGAGTTGTTCCTTTTATTTCTCCTATGTCCTGGGAGGCTGTGCCAAGCTGTGTTCACGCTGTGGTATCATCAGGCGTGCATGAGCTCTGCGACCGTGAACACGTGCCTTAAACTCTCTGGGCCTCAGCTCTTCCATCTGTAGAGTGGGACTAATAATAATAGTAGTTATTTCACTGTTTTGTTAGGCAGTACATAAAGTGTTTTGAATAGTGTCAGGCACAGACTAATTGCTTAATAAATGAATTATTATTTATCCTAACAAAGTCTTGAGTGGAGGCTGAATAGGCCAACCTATAGAAGAAAATCGCCAAAGTTGGCAAATCACAAATGGACTGAGGGCCAGGTCCTCAACCTAGGAGCATAAGTAGGACCATAGACACATGAGGAGCCCAGAGACAGGACTGCTTCTGTTAGTACAGTGCTGGATTTCTCACTCTTGGCACTATTAACATTTGGGGCCAGATAATGCTTTGTTGTAGGAAGCTGCCTGTGCATCATAGGATGTTTAGCAGCATCCCTGGCCTCCACATGCAGGAGACCAGAAGCAACCTCCCAGTTGTAACAATCAAAAATGCCTCCAGATATTGCCAACTGTTCCCTGAGGGGCAAAGTCACCCCCGGTTGAGAACCCCGGTTCCAGCAGACAGAGCGTGAAAGGCACTGTTAGTCACCCGGGTCTGAGGAGAGCCTGGGATGCAGAGCATCTGTCCTGGCAGAGTGGGTGGGTCGGCATGTGGCAGAGCCAAGTGGCAGGTGGTCAGCTGCAGGCAGCCTGGCAGCAGGCGCCAGGCGGCATGGGTCGGGGCTAGGACCCCAGCTGCTGGGAGCCCAGCAGTCAAGCAGGGTCAGATCATGGCTCATATGACGTTGAACTTGGGCACACCCTGTGGCTCTTTATTCCTCTGTCCAGGACTGGGACTGGATCCAAGTTCTGGATAAGGGGTGAGGGGAAGAGAGGAGAGGAGCTTTACCTGCTTAAATTAGAAGGGGGACCCTCCCAGCCCTAGGTGTGACCTATTTGACCTTCATGACCTCCAACCTGGAGAGCACAGGCTTCTGGGTAAGGTTCAAATCCAGGCTCCGCTGCATGGAAATTAAACCTAAAAAAGAAAGAAAGAAAGAAAAACAAAACAGACGCTGCCATTTAAGACAAGGGGACCACCTTAGGCAGATTGCTTAACCTCTAAGCCTCAGGTTCTTCATCTATGAAATGAGAATGATAATGCCAACCTTGTATGTGTAACCTTGTTATAAGGATTAAATGTGCTGTTATAATGATTGTATTTAGTCTGCCACGTCATAGGCACTCAGTAAAATGTTGAATGAATGACTGAATGAACAAATGAGTGAATCCTCCCACAGCATAACTTTCTCTCTTAAATCCTCTTGTTCGTTTTAGTTCTCTTCTCTGGAACTTCTCCAGCTCTTTGACATAGAAAACTGTTAAATGAGTTATTTCTGTCTGTATCACTAGAGCTTAGCATCAGGACTGGTAGATATTGAATGCTTTAAAAATGAACTTCTTCTTCCTCAAAGGGTGGTGACTGTGCTTTATTCATCTTTATAGAGCCACAGCCCAGCACAGTGACTGATACACAGCAGGTGTTGATTAAATGTTTGTTGAATGAATAAATGAACATACCAAAAATGGCTGAAAGAAAGGCGTGACTACCCAGGATTCTTCACTGGAGTCCATTCCTACATGTCCCTTTAGGAGAACATGACTGCTTTACTTGGAGGTTTGCCAAACCCCAGGAAGGGCAGCAGTGGACTCACTGAGGTGGTGGGTGAGAGGGTCAACTACACAGAGCAAGAGAGACAGTGTAGTTTATTAGCAAGACCCCTAGATAGGGAGTCAGGAGACCTGGGTTGTGGCCCCATCCCTGTCACCTTGCATGATCACTACTCTCCCTGGGCCTCTGTTTCCCCATCCATACAATGGGGACTAGGTGATGCCTTGGGGTGACCCTGTCTTTTGATACTTGGCCAGCATGACAAGTCAGTCAATGACCATGTTACTGAGCATGGCCAAGTGTCATACATATGAGACCAACCAGTGACATCAAGGCACTACTCTTTCACAAAGCCATCGACTCCCCAGCCACCTTAGAGCAGCTGGGCCTCGAACACAACATTAGATGAAGCATCTGCTCTGAAATCCAGAGGTCTGATGAAAGCCGGCAGGGGCAGGGCAGCAGCAGATTTTCCAAGGGCCTTAAAGATTTCACAGGGGGACCCTTGAGGATCATCATTGCCAGAGGGGGAAATGTTAGTGATAGAAAAAGTTTTTTTTTATAACTCCACTATCTCTCTTCCCCTAAGGTACAGAATCAATTAACAAAGAGGGGCTTTTCCCATCCTGAAATCTGTGTGACAGGTGGGGTGATGCCAGCCTGGAAGAGCTTGACAGAGCCAGATTCCCTTGTATCAGAAAAAGGGGCCCGTAAAAGAGAAGTGGGAGGGTTGGGTCCAGAGAGAGGAGCAAGAGGCTGAACATGACATGCATCCAAGGGAGCGGCGTGGAGAGGGAAAAGGCCTGTGGGCGATTCGGGGGTAAAGTGAGTTGTATTTTGAGTGAGAGGAGTAGAGAGAGGTGCTTTGATGAAAAGTCAGGAGCTCCGCTGCTGACTAATGACTTGGCCTTGGGGGAGTAGGTCAGCCTTTCTGTGCCGGAGTATCTCCACCTACAAGGTGGGCATAACAGAATCTCCTCTGCAGTGGAAAACACTTAGGATTGTGCCTGGCACATAGTAAGGACCATAGAGGTATGTGCGGTAATGGTGAAGATGTAAAAACCTTTGAAATCTGCAGAATGTATATCACTTGGGGGGACCCAGCAAACTGCTCTCCTGGGCCTGGGCTGAGTGCCATGTCTCACGTCAGCTGCCCGGCTACATAGTGTATCTGGTGATACCTATGCAAACGAGGCTGCTGACAGCAGGCAGGGTGGTCACAGGGGCTCCGCCGCGTCACCAGGGACTCCTGCAGAGCCTGTGCACTGGGAGCCCGGCGGGTGCAGGGCATCTGCTCGCCATGTGGCTAAACTATCCCAAAATTGCTGTGGGCTGAACTTTGTCACCAGCCTGTTTCTCAAGAGGACACTTCCCCTGGCCAGGAAGCATGGACTTTCCAGCTGGGCTGGCCCCTCAGGCAAGCTGCACTCAGGGGATATTTTCAGATTCAGGGTGACATTCCCCTGCTCCTCAGCCTAATAGGTCCCAGATGGTCCCCGCCTCCCTCAACCCCCATTCCTCTCGCTGTTCTGAAACGTTCTGCCTGGGCCTCCTCTCCCGGCACCACACCTCTTCACTATTTTATTATTATTGTTGTTGTTGTTTTGTTGTTGTTGTTATTAAAAACATTTTGTTCCCCCTTAACGCGATGGCCTGACAGAGGCCAGCATGAAAGAGGCTGCGTCCTCCTGGAAGGGGCCCAGGACAGAGGAGCAGGCAGATGAGGGGTGGGGGGAGCCGATTTTGGGAACGTGAGGAGCAAAGGGAAACATCAGGAGTCTCTATTGGCTGAGCATAAAAGAAGCAACAGGAGCAGCAGCTGTGTTAACTCGGCCAGGTCACCAGGGGCTGGGCAGACGCACCGGCCCAGCTGGGAATCCCACGGACCTGGGGGGTTTTGTGACTCATGTTTGGAGAAATGCCTTTCAGTTCACTATCTTTCTGTGGCTGCTTTTTCTCTACCTTACCTCCCCGTCTATCCTCCTGTCCCTTTTGCGGAACCTTTGAATTTGTAATTCTTGGCTGTTGTCAGAAACAAGATAGGGCTGTTACTGAGGCCCGTGGGAGGGAGGAGGGAGAGTGGCCACACAGAGGAGGAGGAAACAAAAGGGGGAGGCATGGAGGGAGGGTGGGGCTGGAGCACAGAGATGGGCGGTGAGGAGGAGGGAGTGGGCAGCAGACCCAGGAGGACAGAAAACCCGACTCATAGCTTAACAGAAACCAGGACAGGCCCGACAGACATCAGGCAGGGAACCCAGTGAGAAACCCTCCCCGCTGTTCCTGCTGCTTTTCCATTTCATTTCATGGAAGCATGGAGAGGACGACGAATGTGCTAATAATCATAATCTCTTTAGGTTCTGCTACACTTCTGACCTTCAGCAAGGTGCCTGAGTGCCCACTGCCCTGTGTTCAGTGTGTACAAGCTGGGTGGGTCCCAGGGAGCCCATCTGTGGGGTGGGAAACTAGGGCTGTGACGCGGACCTCTGGGTTTCTCATCCAGTGATGAAAATATGGAGAGGAAATAAAGGGGGAAAAGTCTATACTGTGAAAGTGGGCCAGGAAAATATTGACTCTGAAGGCCAGATGGAAACCCTTCCGCTGAAGAATTCTTGGATGCTGCTTCTAAGGCAGCCCTTATGACAGTGACACTGACCCTGGCATTTTCTCTCTCTTGCAGGACCTCCTGTAAGTACTCCAGTGCAGCCGGTCTCGCACGTCTGAAAGGCCTTGCTCCTTGCTGGTAACCGGGCCCTGGGTGGGGTTACTGAGCCCCCTGCACCCTCTGCTGAAGCCTGCAGGGTCCCTCCAGAAGGTTGACGTGGCCACCATTTTGCTTTCCACCCACCTCTGCACCCTCCAGGCCCAAACAGTGGTTGTGCCCAGGGCAGAGCGCGTCCCAGTTTCAATCTGAAAGGCTGGCTTGCCCCATTGTTAGGAACAATGCCTGCTCCTTTGTCCCCAAAGAGCCAAGTGGAGTCAAAGAAGCACCAGGTATTAGAAAGAAGAAAGAGGTCATCTCTACTCAGTTCTGGTCCTTGAAATGTGGCCTGCCCTTTTAGTAAACAGGTCGGTGAGTGGCTCTCCGTGTGGACTGCTCTTGAGGACATGGTGTCCACAGCACTGTGTGGGCAGCTCCATCTGGCTGAGTCACGTCGGGCAGGTGATGGTGGTGGTGTTTTTATGTAAGAGAGCGATGTCAGTGGGTTACATTGGGAAGCGGCACGAATTAGAGGCAGCATGGCAGGCTCCTTCCCCTAGCATCGCCCAGGAGCCCAGGGCAGGGTGGGGGAGCCAAGCCACTTCCAGAGAACCTGAGAAGAGCCCGAGGAGACCAACTCCCCAAAGTAATGGATTCAGAGAACAGGAGCACGTCTTCTGAGGACAGCATTTGATATCCCAACAAAAGCCCCAGAGGTTGCCGGAGGAGCTGGGGATTAGAGTTGAAAGGGCCAGGCCCTCCACATCAGATCTTTCTCAGCGACACTGAAAGCGGCCCTATCATCCTCCCTTCCTCTGAGAAGTCATTTCCATAGCTGTTCTCCTCTTGATCTGTACCTGCGAGAGCAGCCGGCCCAATTTGTAATAAGACCATGATGTTCCATTACATCTATGTCTTTCTTGAAAGGCACAATGAACCCGTGCTGCCGACCCCGCCTGGCTCGCTCACTGCTCAGTTACAGAGAGAGGAAAATCATGTCATTCCCTGAAAGGAGGAGGGGTGATTTATCACGCATGTTTTAGATGTCAGATCTCAATTCCTGTCATCAATCTTCCAAAATAAACTCTGCCCTGGGAAACTTCAGTGGACCACCTGCTGGAAATGGGCTGCTTTTCCCCTTCTTTTTTGACAAAGCCAAAAACAGCCCTTGTCTCCTCTACTCCCAGGACCTCCCCCATCTACCACGTCCCCCCAGCCAGGCTACTGGGCTAACCTGAGTCCATTCTGGGTCCTTGCCTGACTTCTTACCAGGAACGCAGTGTCCTGAGAGCTTCTGCTGGCCTCATCCCACAACTGTTCCTAGCCGGAGAGGATGCTGCCACTCCCGGGGACTCTGCAGTGCCAGAGCAAATGAGGGGGGTGGATCTGGGCCTCTCCTCACAATCCCTGCCCATCCAGCTGCCACCTGAGCCATGGGGTGAGGGAGGGGAGCCCAGGTAGCTTTCCTGAATTCTCAGCCTGACACAGAAACAGAACAGGCCTGAACCTTCATCCAACTCTGGCTGAAGCCGCAAGGTGCAATGAGGAGGAAATGGGAAGCTGGCATGGGTGGGAAGCGCCCCCTCGCCCGTTCTCTCTGCTTCTTGCAAAGGAAGAATGTCACGCCAGATGCAGGGAGAGGGAGATGGCAGCTGCTCACAATGCCTGTCTGCCACCCTCTGGGTGTTTCTCAGGGATGCCTCCGGGGGTGACTCTAGACCCCAATTCCTGTGGGCACTAGAATGGCCAGTGCCTAGAGAACACAACCACGGAGGATGGGTTTAAGTAACAGAAGGAATCATCTGAGTGGTGGAAAAATTGTACCCAGAACTGCCCCCATCCACCTCTCGCCCATGGCAGACGTTGCTAATCAATTAGGAGGCTTCTTCACTCAGTCACTACCAATCCATTAGTCTGCTCTCAAGTGGATAGCTGTTGACCATTCCTGCAATAGATTTAAGAGAGAATTTCTTAATTTTGAGACCTGTGAGACTGAAACAGATGACCAAAGGAAGTATGTATGTCTCTTTCTCTGAAAGAATATAGGGAAATACATGATATCCAGCTGCCAACCCTGGTTGAAAGTAATCCTTGCTGAAATACTAGTTTACTCTTATTTACTATGCATTAGACACTATTGTTTTTTTATGGAGGCAGTGTAATAGAGTGATTACAGGCATGGGCTCTGGAGCCAGACCCCCTGGGTCAGAATCCTGTCTCTGTCACCTCTAGCTGTGTGACCTCAAGCAAGTTACTTTACCTCTCTGTGCTTCAGTTTCCCCACCTGAAGTAGTAGTAGTGTGCTTCATACAGGTGTTGTGAGAAATATATATATGTAATACATATGAGTGTGCATGTATGTATAGGTATATGTATATTCGTATGTCTATATGTATGTGTGTACATACGTGTGTATACATGTATGCCTATATTTTTTCATTTAGAATATATTAACTCATTTAAATTCTAGAAACAGAAGACTTCTCTAGATGATCCCCAAAGACTCTGACAAGCCTTTAATTTTCATTTCATGTCATTTTGTTTTATTTCATTCAATAAGCTTATTTCATTTTATTTCTTCTCCACCTTTTTCCAAGAAACATTTTTGGGGTGATTTACAAACTAGATAAGGAAACAATGGAGGGGAGGCATAGAAAATAGAGGCAGGAAAACAGGGAATTCAGGGCTGATGATACCACAACATCCTGTGGACTCTGCTTTGAGCGTCCTGGTGGTCAGAGCAGAGAGGAAAGCAGAATTGTTGCAAGCGTCAGGGTGCAGTAAAAGGAGCGCCCTGGCATCTGGGTGAAGCACTGCTTTCCCTGGTGCTGAGACCCTAAAGAAGTTCCTCTCCTGTGCGGGCGATGGTGGTGGTCAGTACCCTGGAGCGGTGGCAAACTACCCCTTCTGTCCCCATCCGGTGGGGTAGACTACCCCTGTGTGAGGTTAGGAACCCTCCTCAGGCGCATGCTGCCTGGGATGTGCTCTCTGGGACGGGAGGGAGGTGGCCCACTCCCTGAGAGTGTTTAGAAGGGTCGGGAAGAGGGATGGGCTCAGCGCTAAAGCTCTGGGTTGAGGCCCCTCAGTGCTGAGCTGCCTTTGAGGAGCTGAGAAAGAAGGAGGCTGTATTCCCAGCTTCATGGTATCTGCCCTCAGGTTCATTCATTCACAAACATGAATTAAGGACCTACTAAGAGCTCAGCACTCTTTTAGGCCCTGGGAACACATCCGTGAACCAAGCAGAAAGCACCCTGCCTGCCCCAGGAGCAAGACCCAGCAGAGTGAAGGGGTGGGCACGGGCCCTGTGCCCCTGTGGCCACTAACCAGCAGCCCCCCAGGACCCCCTGGCTGGGTCCAAGTGAGGGCATCCCTGCACCCCTGCCTCCGGGACATCCTCAGGAACAAGGGACGGGACGGGGCATGTTTATTCCTTGTGCTGCCTGTGTTGCCTCAGCAGCCCTGCAGGGGATGCACTTGTCTCCCAGTGGACCCCCTGAGACCCACTCCTGGTGCTGCCACGGGTTTACGGGAAGAGCAGGATGTCTGGGAGGAGAGAAACCGCACCTGACGGCAGAGTCCAGAGAGGCCAGCCTCGTCAGCCAGTCCTGCTCTCTCCGCGATCGCAGTAGCTAGCGTTTACTCAGCGCTTGCTCCCTGCGGGTCTCCTGTGCTGAGTCCTCTCCATACATGATCTCATTTAATCCTAAGAAGTAGATAAGCTTGTTCTCCCATTTACAAGGTGAGGAAACTGAGACACAGGGAGACAAAACAACTTGACTAAAGTCACTGACGAGTAAGTGGCAGAGCCGGGATTCGAGCACAGGTGGGCTCACTCCAGAGCCCATACCTTAACTAAAAGCCTGCTTCTCCCTGACCAAGACCCTATCTCTCCTGACCACAGGCCCTGGCCACGCCAGGCTGGGGGCTTAGCTCTAGAATCTCTCTCCAGGTGCCCCTGCTCCCCACCGCCAGACTCTCCATGGTGCCCCACGAGTCAGCTCCTAGAGCAATTTCTCAGACACCATCTTGTATCAGATCCATCTGGAAGTCAGGAGCCAGAGCAAAAAAGACACAACGTGCTCAGAATTTGCTTGGTTCCTGAACCCCATCCTGTACATGCTGCTCTGAGGTTAACTATTATTATCGACATCTTGTTGAATGTTTTCCTCTTTCCAGTGGGATTTCAGACCCATCATATGGAGTCTTTGGTCTACACCCAGAATTGTTCTAGGCAGGAGTCCTAGGGTTATAAATAAAGGGTTTGAAAAAGCCATGGTGGTGGTCAGTGAAGACTCCTGGAGCCACACAGGGTCCACTCAAGGTGGGGTCCAGCCTCCTGCCTCACCCCCAGTGCCAACTCATTGTGGAGATGGTAGTCTGAAGCTGGTTGGAGGCATCAAAGGAAGGAAGTCCCACTGCCCTCCTCAGCATCCCAACAGAGGGGAAGGGGCCCCCTGGGGATGGTCGTGGTCCCTCAGCCCTGATGGGGCAGGTCCAGCAGAAGTGTACCAGCAGACATCTGGCTTCTCCTATGTGGTAGGACTGGAGAGACCACGTCTGACTGCCTCGGTCCCTTTCCCAGGCAGGGCCAGCACACATGAGTGGGGGACACGTGTGCACTGAGGCAGAGGCTCAGAGAGAGGTGATGCTTTTGTGAGGCCCAGAGCCCTGATGATCCTTGAGTCATGAGTGACAGAGACATGATGGGACATTCTTGTCTTTCTGTTCCCTGTACCTGCCCTGGGCCTGGCATGGGGGAGACCTCTGCTAACAGCTTTTCTGAATGAATGAATGAATGAATACTAGGACTAAAAAGAGGCTTAGCGAGTAAAGCCCTTCTTCATTTTGTGCATAAAATAGAGGCGCACAGAGCACAAGTGACCCCCGGCCCTCACGGCCAGCTGGACCGTGTAGATCCGTTGGATATTGTAACACCTTGACCTTCCCAAACGTCACTCTTTCTGCCTCTATTTCAGGGTCCTGCTGGAAGACCTGGCCTCCCAGTGAGTAGCTTTCATTTTGTGTTTCCTTTGCATCTCTTTCGCAGGCTCTTTCTCAATCCGAGGACAGGTGAGGTTGGGTGGCTGCTTTCCTCCAGGTATATCGAGGTGGAGGCCTCTCTCCAGAATCTCTAGCCTATAGCTGAGGGTGAAGCTCCCCTGGGCCTTTCCTGAGGCCCCAGGCAGGCAAATGAGTGCATGCAGGCCCCTCCAGGGCTGGATCTGACTTCCAGACTAGTGGCCCTGTAATGGGGGGACTGGACAAGAAGGCAGCCTCCTGGCTTACTCGGTGTCCTCCTGTGTCCCAGCTTAGTTGAAGACCATTGTCCCCACTTTGTCACATGCCCCCTGGTAAGAGTAGACTCCAAAACCTTGTTTTCCTCCCATTTACCATTTCTGAATGCTAGAGAGGCTGTGTCAAGTAACCATGGGGGCTTTGGAACAAAAGTAGAAATAATACTAATAGCCACCTCTCACTGAGACCTTAATACATGCCAGGCGCTATGCTAATCCCTCTTCATATATTTGAGTTGTTCAGCCACTCAGTGAAATGGGCATTACTATGCACATTTTATAGGTCAGGAAACAGAGAGAGGTAAAATAGCTTGTCTAATTGCCTGGGCTTCAGCTGTAGACTTGTTAGCGGCCCCACGTTACTCAGATGCTTAGTGGCTCAGGCAAGATGCTGCAGCCAGTCAGAGGGCCGAGTTGGGGCTGGCAGCAGGCTGCCCTCTCTCCCTGCACTGAAGGCCACATCCATTGGCTTCCAGGGACTTCTCTGCATCCGTCTTGTCCCAGTTACTCCTCTTTTAGACATGAATTATACTATCACCTCCTAACTAATCCAACAGCTTCTAGGATTCATGTTCAGCAGTGACTTTCTTAATAAAATGCATGTGGGAGAATGTTTAGCCTCGAAAATGGAAACTCTCCCAGCAAGTAGAAGCCCTAGAGCAAAGGAAAACGGGGGAAATCTGTCCCGTGAAATCCAAGGAGGGGAGAAATAAGATGACTAGGGAATGTGGGCAGACTTTGTTTTTTGCTGACGATGTCCACCTTTAAAAAGCATTTGGGGAAAAAAAAAAAAGCATTTGGGGGCAATTCGCAGAGCAGGAACAGCTGCACAGTTCCCAGTCTCTGGCTGTTCCATGCCGGTCCCTAACCCAAATGTTTTATGGCCAGGACTGCAAAGAACATTAGTTTTTAACAAGAAATGAAAGAAACCCAAACACACATCCTGCAATATCATTCAAAAGCCCAGGAGTGAGTGGGCCATGGGATGTCACAGCCAGCGACCAGCGAGCCTGGCATCCTCAGCAGGAAGGGTCACAGCCCCGCTCAGGCTTCCATGAAGGGACCTGGGAGTGACCCACAAATTGATTGATTGACATTGGCCTCTTGTTGTGAAATACAAAAGTGTGAAGTACACACATGCTTATAAAAATCACTGGCCCATGGCCGTGCCTGGCTCACTACCCGTAGACGCAGTTTACACAAGCACTCACCAGGTGCCAGACACCAGGAGTTAGCTCTCCAGAACCACAGTCTCATGGCATCCTCCAAGCAGCCCCAGGCAAGAGATGCAGATAGTCAGGGAAGTTCAGGAAACAAATCCACGCTTATAACCATCACTGCGACCTGCCACTCTTTCGCAAAGGCTGAACGCTTTACTAAAGACACTCTCAGCCTTAACAGTGTACGTGTAACAGGAGCCTAATTCAGAGCTGCTCGCTATTCTCTGGTGCGTCCACATACATCTTGGGATGCTAACCATCTCCGAGGCATTTTGCCTCAGTGGGGTCAGCAGACACAAAATTACCCTAGAAATGCCCTCCCTGCAGGGGCACCCACAAGCCCAGCTGTCTCCTGCCCAGCAGGCCAGGACAGATGCCATCTGATTCTCAGCCCCTATTGGTTTCCACCCTTTCGGACTCCCAGCAAACCCCAGGCCCCACCCCAGATTTTTATGAGTCTGCACACATTATGATTGCAAAAAAAATTTCTCTACCAAAAGGGGGAGGAACAAAACTTAATAAGCAGATTTCCAGAGTGAAAAGATGTAACCCCTGGCTGCAAAACAAAGCAATTCCCCCCCTGAGCAGCTGAAACTCGTGATGCGACTGAATCCACATGGCGCACTGTTGGCGCTGGGGGTGGCAGTGAGGAGAGGCAGGACTCTGTCGGTAGCCTTCCCAGACAGAGGGCCTGGGGAGTTGGTGGGAACCATGGGCACTGCTCCACAGCTCCAGCAGAGACAGACCAAGGGAAGTGATTCACCCATCTGTCACGTGGGAGCTGCCACTCACCCTGATCTGTGCCTTGAAATTGAGCATAATGAGGATGTGGCCGAACAGTCTGTGTGGCTGAAAGGGCAAGTTCACCCACATAATGCCTGGGAATCATCCCAAGTGCCTATGCAAACCAGGTCTTGAGTGTCTAGCTAGCCATGGGGTCCCTCATGTGCTGGCCCAGCTCCAGCAACATCTAATTGTTTCTGTCTCTTTCATCAGGGGGACAAAGGTGCCATTGGGATGCCTGGACGTGTGGTGAGTTGGAGCATCTGCACCTGCCTGGGTGGCCATTGCTTGCTTCCCCATGCTGGCCCATCCTGCAGACCATGGCAAGGCGTTGCCTGTCCCACCTCTCCCTTCCCCAGTCCAAGTCTGGTTCAGAGAGGGACATGCGAGTTGAAGGGAAAAGTTTTAATCCAGTCCTTCAGATCTTGCAATATGGCTTTACTCTCCAGAGAGATGCCATGGCAAAGGAAAAATCCAAACGTTGCATGAATAAAGCTCTTTGCCAATTACCTACTGAGGACTCCCACCCCCTCAACCCCACCAAGGCTGGCAGCTCACCCTCAGATTTATAGCTGCTCCTGCGACCATCCCCCAGCAAGAGCAGGAGAAAATGGAAAGAAATGCAAACTGAAAGTGTTCTACAGATGCTATTCTGGGGCCAGCTTCCGGGGCACCTGCCCTAGACAGAAACCAGAAGATGGTGAAGAGAGGGCTGGCTTCCAGGCAGTGCCTCCAAATCCTCCCCAGGAGGCTGGGAGTTAAAACATATAACGTTTCCTGCTGAAAAAATTAAGATGGTGAAAGGGAATGTTTGATAGGGAGCACGCATCTCAGGGATGGGAAGGTCAACACTAGGCTTTGAGGTCCCAGCACCAGGGTTTTTCCTGGTGGCTTCTAGCCTTCGAGGGGCTAGAAAGAGCAGCACAGGAAACTGAGGGCAGCCTCAGGCAGTGATGGCCACACGCTGGCCTCACCAACCCCCAGCCTTATCTAGGATGTGGTCCAAGCTACTCTCCCTGTCTGACCTCTAACTCCCCACCGCAGCCTCAACCTCCACCCTGGCTCCCCAGTGCCCCCTCACCGGCCCTGTGCCACTCTTCCATGTCACTCACATGCTTTGCCTCATAACTTCACCGCTTGGGCTAGGTTGGCCTTAGGCCTGTGTATGGCATCCCATGTGAATTGGCTTGCCTGGTATGAGCCCTGTGCTCAGAGAAAAGGCACCCACGTCATAGCTAATGCTTGAAAGTGCTGCCTGTGTGCTGGGCATACTGCCAAGAGCTTTACACACATCAGCTCATCACAAGAACTGCATGAGGGAGACACATTATTCAGATGAGAAAACTGAAGCTCGGATGTTAAGTGTCTGTCCTAGAGTCGCAGGTCACCCCCCTACCCCTGTTTCCTTCAACACAAAGCTGTTTGCAAGCCACTTTGAGGCTTTCTTGCTGCTTGTGCTATTTTAAATGTGACAATGGACCCTTTTGGCTGCCCAGTAGGTGTCCTGGCATGAGCCACCTGATAAGGACTGGGGTGGCCAGTGAGTGTGAAATGCCTGAGTTGTTCCTGTAGTTCACCAGAGGAGGGATACTGGCTTCTGCCGATTAAGGTGGCTTGGAGTTGTCTTTCTGCTGGTCACTGCGGTTATAGAGGGCCTTGGTGATGACCCAGTTTCCTCTGCATCCCAGATCCATCTTCCATCCTCCCAGATGTGTGTGTCCTTCTATCTGTCCTCTCACGTTCCTCCCGCCCCCTCCCACCTTCTTGCCTGGCTGCCCTAACGACTCCTGGCACATTGAGCTTGGCAAAACTTTGTACTTGGTGCTCAGTTGGATCTTCAAACCAATTAGATCCCACCTCACCACAGGGTCCTTGGGAAAGTCTCTCCCATGCCCATCCCCACCCCAAATAGCCCAGCCGGCCGGCGCCGCGCGTCCTCAGACGATTCTCTGACCTGGGTGGTTTCTCCTGCTTTCTGTCTGCCTGTCTCTCTCGCTCACACACACATATACACATTCTTCAGGAGGGCCTCTTAAGGCTCCTGCCACTGTTTCTGTCTTAGTTATGTGGCTGGGGCTGGCCCCCAGGCTGAGGCAATAGTTGTCCGTGTGCTATGCGTGTTGGACACAGGACCTGTCGTTTGTCAGCATCTGTGTTTTGTGTTGTTTCTTATTTCACGGTGATTTCTTTTGTTTGGTCGTTGTGCCATTAACACGAATTCTTGTGTGTGTGCCTCTCTCTCATCCTTTCTTTTTTTCTCCCTCCCTCTCTCTTCCCTGCACCCCGTGTTGCATGTGGCTGCCCCAGGGAGGAAAGGGCCAACCAGGTGAGAAGGTGAGTCTGCACTTTCCCCTCCGCGTGGCTGCCCCCGCCTCCACTTCTACCCTTGGACTCTGGGGGTGCTTTCAGAGGCCCCCATCTCAGCCCTCCTCCTGGCACATAGGCCAGCACAGCGTGCCACCCTTGCCTGCTCTGCCCTCGCAGCCTCTCGCAGCCTGGTTTCCTAACAGCTTCCACACCATCGGGCTAAGGTCCCAGCTTCCCTGGCTGAGTTGGTCTCCCCTGCCCACAGGGGCTGCCTGTGGCCTCTGATTTCTGCCTAGGGCAGACACCCTTCCCAGGGGCAAGAAGAGTGCAGACTGCTGTTTTGTGTGGCTGGTTCTAGCCGCTCCCCAGCCCACCACTGGCCCCTGAGCCTCAGACACTGGTGCTGCCCCAGAAAGTGTCCCCGGGGGAAACACCCAGAGAGGCTCCCAGCTTTGTAGAGTGGGGCTCCCTGGAAGCCAGAAGCCCAAGAGATAGTCCTGAAACATCAGCCCTAGCAGGTTCAGAAGGGTTACAGAGAGCCACACAGCTAACCAGCTCACTCTGCAGATGAGGCAACTGCAGCCCAGAGAGGGGTGGGGCTTGCCTGAGGCCCCCCAGCAAGAGAGATGGGCAGGCGCAGGAAGCCAGACCTCCCGGTGCCCAGCCTGATACATCCCTGCCTGGACACTGCAGTGTGGATTTCTGCAGTTGAGTCTCCCCATCTCCAGGATAACGATGACAGCAGTAGTAACAGCATCTGGCAAGTGTTAAGCGCAAGCTGTGTCAGGTGCAGCTTAAGCGTTCGCTCTGTTCCTCCAGTTAACCCCGACACAGCCCTTCCGGGGGACTTCAGTACTCCCATTTACATGAGAAGGAGCTGAAACTCAGAAAGGCAAGGTCACATGCCCAAAGTCACAAAGCAAAAAGTGACAGAGCTGGAGACGAGCCCGGGTGTCTGAGTCCAAGGCTGGGGCCCCTAGCCACTGTGCTATGCTGTCCTCCAAATGGAATGAAGAGTTTGGGGCTAAACCACCCAGCAGGAAGACGGGGGACACAACCACTGTATACGGACAATAGCAGACCCTTGCCAGCCCCTTCCTGTATCAGGCGTTCTTTACAACGTTATCTCATGAAATGTTCACATTCACACTATGAGACAGGCACTATTATCCCTGCATTACAGATAAGGAAACTGAGGCAGAGAGAATTTAGGTGGCCCAAGGTCAGACAGCCAAGGGAAGCAGAGCTGGGCTCAAACAAGCATTTGGCTCATAACCATCACATTATACTGTCTTATATAAAAATGATTGTATAATTGTAATGGCATAAACAGTTATTAATTTGAAGTCACTCCTCACCTGAGTGTGAGGCATGACAGTTGAAAAATGTATTTCCGTCCCTCGCCCTGTAAGGGCAGCAGAGATGCTCTCAGGCTTCCTTTCGCAGAGGAGGTATGTGGGCTCGGAGAGGTTCTGTGAATTGCCTGGCAGAGCAACACCGGGAAGTACGGCCCTAGATCCCTGGTTGGAGGCAGTATCCTGCCTTCCTCCCCGTCGAGCACAATCTGGATCCTTCTGCCAGAGCATCACCCCTCACGCCCACCTGTGTTCTGTACATCCTTCATCGTCCTTCTGTCGCCCTTCCCCACCCTCAACACGCACACGCACACGCACACACACGCAAATTTATCTAGGCAGCTGGACCACCCTTGGATGACACTTTGAGCTCCCAGCCCAGAAGCAGCCACCATCTTCTCTAGACTGAAAATTCCCAGACTTAAGCCCTCTGTGTCGCTCTGACACCAGGACTGGGAGGTCCAAGGCAGCTGCCCTCTGTGTCGCTCTGACACCAGGACTGGGAGGTCCAAGGCAGCTGTAATCTTCAGACCAGGGCTGATAGGCCCACACAGCAAGTATGTGTCTTGTCCCTACCCTCTGTTTGCAGCAGCGCCTCCCCCAAGGCAAGTTACAGGGTGCGCAGCCACGTGGGTATTTGGGGCCAGGGAAGAGGACCTCAGGGATTTTAAAACTTGGCTGGGGCTGGGGCAGGTTGGGGAACATCCTGAGCGGGGCCCTGTGGGACGCCTCTGGGGCCTGAGCAGCCTTGGCTGAGCTGAGTGTCCCCCTACCCCCACCTCCCTCCCTGTACCGCCCTCTTGCCCATCACTGGGCTGCATCCTCTTTTCCCTGCTTCCCGGCCTGGGGTCCCACATGTATGCTCTCACTCATCTCTCCTCTCTTCCTTCCTCCGGCTTCCCCACTGCCCTTCTCAATCCTCCCCAAATGTGTCCCCTCTCCTCTGGATCCCTCATCTTCCTCCACATCCTCTGCCCACTGTGTCCTCGGCCTCTGGCTCGGCACCCCCATCTCACCCACCCCGCCTTCCCCACCTGCCAGCTGCTCCTTCTACTCTTCCCCACCCCTCCCCTCCCGCCCCTGCCCCTGCTCCCTCTCCTCCTTCTCCCTCTTTGTCTCCCCAACAGGGGGCCCCAGGAGATGCCGGGATGTCCATCATCGGTCCCCGTGGCCCCCCAGTAAGTGATTTTTGCTCTTCTTTGGGGTAGAGGGATGAATGAGTTGAGGGCTGGGTGGGGATTGGGGAGCACGTGTCCTGGCTGTGCCTCTGGGTATGACGACCACTGCATGGGATGCAGTCAGCCAGGCCGGGCCTCAGTGCTGCTGTTGATGTTAAAGAAAATGGCCTGACTACATATACCGAAATCACAACCTCTCGGGAGGGTTCACAAGGGCCTGCCCTCTAGCCACGAAATGACAGCAGCTGTGAGGCAGCCCTGTGTTTACAGGCAGAGGGACAAAGGGCTGCTCCTCTCTGGAGGGGTGCTCCAGCTTCCAGGGGACAAGCCTTGTTTCCAGAAGCCCATGGAGCAGAGACCCAGAATCCAGGCTCCCTGACCCCGGCACCCACTCCTAGTCTTGGCAGAGACCCAACCCACCCCGTGCTCTCAAAGGCTCCTTTTTTGTGCTCAGTGCTGGGTCCGGTGTTCCAGTATCCTCCACCCCATGGCCAAGGACTTGGGAAAATCAGAGCAGCTTCCCCTCAGATAGGCTTCCTTAGGGACCAAAAGGGGGGCATGGGTGATGATGTGGGAAGATATCATGACGATGGGAAGGAGGACTGGCTAGTTTTCTCAAAGAGCACCCCACCCACGAGCTTCAATAAAATCACCAAATGTCAGAGTGGAAAGGACTTCAGTGATGGTCTAACACAGCCCTCTCAGAAGGGGAAACTGATGCCTGGGGAGGGCAAGGGGCTTGGCCAGGGTCCCCAACACAAAGACTGGAGCAGGATTAGAACCCAGGACCCCTGGCACCCAGGGCTTCCGCCACAGCAACAGGCTGCCACCTGTATGCTCTGCTGTGCTCTTTTCCTGACCTGCCCTGCATGGTGAGAGAGGAGGGGCACGGAGGGCTAGCCTCAGACTCCCAGAAGCTGGCCCAATGGATGGATGAAGCGCCCTCCCCACACCCC